CATCTGGCTGGTTACAGTAAGTAAAACTCAGTAAATAAATGTTTTAACGAAAACTACAGAAGCAGATGATGTAAGGTTGAGCACGTCTTACTTTTAAACGGCATCTGTGTTTAGCTAAAAGTAAAAACAATTACACAGAATGGAATACATTTCAAAATTTGTATTTTCCTGATATTTCCCAGTGATCTGCAGCCACAGATGGGAGGTTAAGTACTCCAGTAAGATGAAATGTGCTCTAAAGGGTTCAACAATAAATTTATCGGGCACTTATAAACTCCCAAATAATCTCAAAGTGACACAGACATTCTGGACTGTAAACCCATCTAAAAACGAGAGTATCAATCTGTTGGCTCATCCAGATTACAGAGGCAGAGTTCAGTTCTTCAAGAATCAAGATGGAATGACCTTTCTCAGTCTCAGTAATGTGACTCATGAGGATGAAGGAATGTACTGCCTCAGAATCCTGACAAATGTAGAAAAACAAAGACATCTGGGTTTTCCTGGGATTGAGCTCAAAGTGACAGGTACAGGCAAACTAATTCACTCACAGATTTGACTCTGTTCTTTCATATGAAACATGTTTTGTCTGTGATTTCAGAGCTCAGATTGGAGATTCCTGCCTCAGTGTCCTTCAGTCCATCTGGTGAAATAGTGGAGGGAGATTCAGTGACTCTGAGCTGCAGCAGTGATTCAAAACCTCCTGCTCTGAACTTCAGCTGGTTTAAGGAGAATCAAAGCTCAGCTGTTGGATCTGGACAGAGTTTCAGCATCTCCAGCTTTAACTCCAGTCACAGTGGACGCTACTATTGTGAGGCTCAGAATCAACATGGATCTCAGAGATCAGCGTCTGTGTCTGTAATATCTGCAGGTATTAATATGATACTGTAGGCTCTTACTGAACTCTGTCATGAGCATCATGTAAAATGATGTGTCTCTTCACTCAGGTGGCAAGAGAACATTACAGTCTGCACACGTTCTGTATGCAGCTGCTGGAATCGGTGCCACGCTCATCTGCATCTGCATTATTGTAGTAATAAAAATCATAAGGTAAGAGAAAAGTGCTGTCATTTTTTTGCTGTGGAAAAACCTGAAGACACCATAAACCATCATAAAGGTGGTTTATGTGATTTGTGTGCTATAATTCAAGCCATACAATTGACTCATCCATCATGAAGAAAACAATCTCATTCTTCACTTGCATTTTGTGAAATACCATAATTACATTTTCTTTATGTTCCTCACACTAAGCTGTCATATGATTTCAGAAGATCTATATAAATATACATCACGAGTCATATATTAATGACTTTTATGACACTTCATGTCGTGTTCGGTTCAATTTGACCTGGAGAGGATTCTCTTTTTCCAAAAAATGCTAGTTAATGTTATCACATTGGACTAAAACCTACTGCTCACACAGGGTAGAACAACTTTGACTTTTTTTTCCTGGGTATATTTTGTATTTTTATGGGATTTATTTATTTATTTTTGACAAAAAAGATTGAATCCAAGATTTAGTGATAATAGAGCATAATGAGAAAATTACAAGCAATTTTTAGAAGACCTGTAATTTTTGAAGCTGGAAACACCAAATTAGTGAAATAATTTTCAGCACATCATGAGAACTAAAGCAGTTTTTCCCATTTTATTTTCCAGGATTCTTTGGATTATTTGAAATAGAAATCTGGCCCCAAAAGTTTTGAACAGTACTCCATATTTTTTTTATTAAGCAATTCATATTCAAGACATATCTATAAACAAATAAAAACATTCATGTTTTCATTTTTACAAACATTGTAAGTGTTTGAGTAGCTGTTGACTAGTGTGATCATATTTTTCGTAGTTGTAAATAAAAAAGTATTACAGTATGTTTTACAAGAAAAAACTATTTGAGTATTTCTACCAAAGTTAAGCCAGTATGTTACTTGCTGTTTATGAATGACTGTTTATGAATTTTACTAGGAGTGACGTTTTCGTTGATCTTTTTCTTCTTTTCTTCAGTAGGAAAACAGGAGATTCTGGCGTCCGAGGTGGCGTTTCAAATCAGGCAAGTCTAAAACAAAGTCTATTTCAGCACATTTTTCACGAAATTGGGATCATAATGGGATCCTCCAGACTGTGTGTGTTTATTCAGGAAAACAACAGCACAGCCGTGACTGACCAGACGGCCACACATCCTTCAAAAGCAGCCGATCCGGATGATTTAATGTACTCCAGCATCTCTCACAAGAGACCCAGAAAGCACCAGAGAGCTGGAGATGAAGACGAGGTTCAGTACGCCATCGTCCAGCACCACAGAAACACCGGGAACATGACTGCGGAGAGAGATGTGAGAGATCACCGTCCTGCTGTTTCTGCCGGGTGAGACGCACTTCATCAAGTCCAGCGTCACTTGTCATAAGTTTAAAGATGTGAACTAACACATAAACTGAAAAATGAGGAACAGGCAGTTTAGAGGAACATGGTTTTATGGGCGCACATTAATCTGGTTCATCTTATTTTGCCTTTTTCATTCTTATTGAACAGATCGAATGCTGAAAGTGCGGATGATTCCTCTGTGATCTACAGCAGCATCAAAGTTGCATGAAGAATTGTAGCATGTGATCACTGAACATGCTCCTCCATTGAAGTCGACATGAAATAGAAGTTGCGATTAAAAGTGATTCCGCTTAACAAACAAGACTTTATTTGATCAATCATATATACAGTGGGTACGGAAAGTATTCAGACCCCCTTAAATTTTTCACTCTTTGTTATATTGCAGCCATTTGCTAAAATCATTTAAGTTAATTTTGTTTCCTCATTAATGTACACATGATTTTAGCAAATGGCTGCAATATAACAAAGAGTGAAAAATTTAAGGGGCTCTGAATACTTTCCTTGTTTATTTTTGTTATATATATATATGGATGGATGGTTCACAGTAAGATGCGTTAAGAAATAAATAGGGTCAATTTTCATTTTTAATTTGTGTTGAAATGTGACCGTGTGCAGTGACTTTAAATGCATACATTTGTGTGAGAAACAGGAAGTGTAACTAAGAGCTGTAAGCAAGCCTAAGCAAAAATATCAATTTCTGAATGGAGGAGAGGCTTCACTTCGCTGAAGCTTAAGCTTACCATTTAATGAATCGACATCCTATCGGCTAATCTTTGCCATTATATGTTCGTTTTTCTCAAAGCAAACTTGTTTCACATATTCTCACACAAATCTTTAACAATAGTGGGGATGATGCTTTTATTTGCCTTTAAAGGATGCATGCATGTTTTTGAGCTCTTCGTGTGTTGTTTGAAACTCTATATTGTATATATTTCTAAAGGTGAATTGACTTGTTGAGAAGAGGGTGCAAATACAGAGAAAGAGGAAGGCCGGCGTTCATTTTAGATGTGATACTCATTAATAGTTCAGCTGTGTAACACTTCCCGTCATGCCGCTGTTATCATTTGTTATCTGTGACCATTCACAGTGAGACAAGTTTATACTATGTTATAATTGTGTGGAAAAGAATGAGTAAACAATAAAATAAAGTATATTGTGTGTTTGGTGAATGTTGGTTTGGTTTATTATATGAGTTGAATGACTTTTGTTGATCCTGCATGTAAATACGAGTGAAGCTCTTTAAACCAGTGTTTCTCAACCGGGGCCCGCGGGCCACTAGGGGGTCTCAGTGATCCTCCAGGCCTGTAGTAAGTGTGCAGTCGGGTCAAAGCTCCAAGGTTCTGCTCAAACAACTGTTGTGAAAGTAAAGGGGTACAAAAATGGAGGTACACAAGCTTTTAAGTTTCTCCTGTAGGCCACTACTGAATAAAACGTAGCTATTTTGTGATATTATAAGCAGAGTTGTTCAAGTTGAGGTGGTGGATGTATGCCAGAAGTATTGTAAGGTAAGTACATTTATCCTCAAGTTGTGATTGACAGATTATTTTTCCATTTCACTTTTTTATTTATGTGGCATATCTAGAGCGATTTGTTATATGAAGATGATTCACAAATGTTCTACACTGAAGGTGTTGCATGCTGCTCACAACCTTTGCAAAGGCAGCACTAAAAACGGAAAGATAAAGAGGAAGCGACACAGAAGTGTTCAGGGGCGTGTCTACGTGGTGGCCAGGGGTGGCACCGGGCCCCCCTGAAATTTGTCTGGCCACCCCAGGTGCCCCCCCTACCAGATGTCTTGCGATAGGCTTGTTTTTAGTAAATTTCTAACTGCCTCTGGCAGTGGCGGATCCTGGCTTGTGTAGGCAGCTGCCTAGGGCCGTTTTCTTCTCTTCTTTATACTTAACTTTAGGCGGTTTCTATAGTGTGATCTTAATGACAATGTCGAGAGCACATAATGTTACGTGATCCATGTAATGTGCGAGGACGAATCTCTCCACTCCCAAGCGGATTTCCATCACTCACACAAAACTGGACGTGTGCTTTTAAATATTGTTCTTTTATGAATTGTCACTGCTCTCGCTCAGATATTGCGTGTACACGCTCAAACGTTGTCTTCGCATCACTGAAGACGAAGAGCTTTTTTTCTAATTCAGGTGAGGAGTAGACTTATCTCACTAAATGGAAGCAAGCTGATTATAGTCAGCCTTCTCTAGTTATTTATTTTATTAATAGCCTACTTATTTTAGTTAAGTGCTTAAATTGTAAATATGCATTTATTCAATTATTTTATTTAGTGCATTTGTATTTTGTTGTTTTTGTATATAGTCTTGCAATAAAAGCGTATCAACCAGGTTCCAAAAATAATCACTGATAATGATTATAATCATTAATAATCACACAAATAATTCAGCTGGTTTAAGGAGAATCAAAGCTCAGCTGTTGGGTCTGGACAGAGTTTCAGTGCACTACAGAGTGGACGCTTCTACTGTGAGGCTCACAATCAACATGGATCTCAGAGATCAGACGCTGTTTCAGTCACTGTTAAAGGTATTCACTATAAACTCTCTTTCAGTTTTATCTGTCTCTAGTGTGAACAAATCTTCATGAACATCTTGTTTCAGGGGTTCAGAGAGCTGCTCTGCAAACAGTTACTGGGATTGTGGTGGGATGTGGAGGACTGATCTTCATCATCATCATCATCATCATCATTGTGTTCATAAGGTGAGTTAAGTTTGTCTGGACACTAAATGTAAGTCTTTTCAGTAAATTTAAAACATCTGCAAACTTTATCTCACATCTAGAGAAAATTGACTTTTTCTTACCTTTTAGTATTTTTTATTTATTTGATGTATTTTAATAGTTTTCTCCTGTTTTCAGTAGGAAGAGGCGGAGAGAATGTGGAACTGAAGACGTGAATCAAAAGCAGGCAAACACACACCTCCATCTACAACTGCAATATTTGATGATATTGCTGCACTGAGCTATAAATAAAAGACAATCTTTCTCTATAGACGGCTGACTCGAGTGATGATACATACACAGCTCTGGATCCAGTGTCCAGAACATCTGACATTTACAGCACGATCAGAGTCAGTAAATGTCTCAAACACTTTTTACACTCACGTTCAGCAGATCCATATAAACACAGGCTGTTCTGTTCACAGTCTGGTGACTCCAGAGCTCCTGATGACACCTACACGGCTCTCCGGCTTCAGTCCAGATCTTCTGAATATGAGACTCTAGCAGTAACTTCAGCAGATCCACATTAAACTCTCCTCACAGTATTACTGCTCAGATGGAAATACTGATGCTCCTCAGAAACTCATAAATACCATATTTTGATGCTTGCTTCATTATCAATTTTCTTAAACCTTCTTGAAGTAACAGTGTATACTGTAATCGAGCTTATAGCAGGTTGCAGAATTGTTTTTTTCCCCAGTCTTTCCTATATTGTACATTACACATTTTCTTTATATTTGTGCTGCACTTGCAAATGCATTTTACCCGGTGTATTTCTGGTATTTAAAGTAACATCGCAATAATGTAGTTTAGTGTAATAGAAAGACCCCATTTATGGTTTCTAATGATGTTATTTTCAAGCAGCGTTGTCTTGTTAAGCTCTGGACAATTGTATTAAAGTCTCTAGCTGCTCTTATATCTGAGTGGATTTTGTTCTACTGCATCTTTATTAAAGTAACCTAATAAAGTTTGACATCCAACGTAAGCATTTCTCTCGTATCTTCCATGTTTTTAATCATTAGTGATAGTATTATATATTAGGATATAAGGACAGAAGGAAAGAAGTGGTGAATATGAATACTGAGAATGGAAATAAACAGTACATATTTTGGGTCTGTTTTGAGTTGCTATCTACATAATAATATTTCTGGTTTCATGATTTATATTATCAATAGTTTGTATAATCCTACAGTTTATTTCTAGTTTAATGCTATTCATGAGGAAAGAAAGACACTTTACTGTATCTCTTTATTACTGAATCTCTAGATACGTGATGTTTGAGGAAATCCTAAAGATGTTGCACTGTAAGAAACACTGTAGATGTTGTTACACATCCTCTTCTGTAGATGGTGTGTCTTAGTGACAGACACGTGCTGAGTATTGCTAAAGTTTGTGTGAGAATACATTTGTAATATCATTTTTATGCAATCAGTTTATAATTGAGTTTCAAACAGCTGATATTCAATCTTAAGTCACAGGGATTCAGATTCACCTCCAGTATTTTGAATTTTTAGCACAAAATAACCTCATTTACATCATTTGGTCATTTACTCACCTTGCAAAGTGTTATGGCGATATGCTTTTGAAGTTTGAAATCTCATTTTATATGAAGATTCAGAAGTATATGCTTGTGTAATATTTGCTGTCACCTCTTTGTTTCTGATCTCATCGAATGAATGATATAAAAAACAGATAAAATAAATGTACATACTATGTACTTGTTATAGTAATTACAATAACTGGGTAATAACTATGTACTATCTCTGATCCTAACCCTAACCCTAAACCTAACCCACGTACTTTCCTTATATCTTCCAGTACTTTCTGAAGCAAGTACACTGTAAGTACAGGTAAGTGCACACTGTAAAAACTACAACGATTGCTTTGATAACTTTTATTGCTCCTAAACTAACTTCTGTAACTGGCAGTAAAATGTGCTTCATCTTTTTGACCACCGGATGACAGAAAAGTGAAAAGAAGTGCAGAAAAGATTTGAGTAATGAATCCCAGTTCTCGTGTTTTTGGGAGTTATTCAATAGATCTGTTAGTGATTTTAAAGAGCATTAATTGTTACACGTTCCCCTGTCTTGTGTTTTATTAACTCTTATTTTGAAGTATTGTTCCTATGTTCTGTCTTCCTGTGTTTAGTTCCCCCCATTAGTCTTGTTACTCTGTGTATTTATACCCCTGTGTTTCAGTCTTTGTTTGCCGGTCGTTGTTTTGCTTATGTGAACTGTTGTGTGCTTTTTGCTTTATCTGGATTTCTCTGCCTTGTTTTTGCTTTGTTTGGATTCTTTTATCATTTTTGTTAATAAATTGTGCTGCATTTAGATCCTCCCCTCTTCCTTGCCTCAAGCGTGACATTAATACTATCTGCTGTCAGTCTGGTGTGTAAGTGCTTGTGCTTGTCAGAAACTGGCACTGCACTTAAACACCATGTATTTGCTCATGTTTCTGAATGTGTAAATGTGGTTGCGTAGCATCATTGCTTCATAAGTGAAACATAGAGTTTGTGTCAGAAAGAGGATCTTGAATCTAAAAGCTGTAAACCTTCATATATGAAAAAAATATTGACGCTCCTGCAGTCATGATGAGTATCTTTACAAAGCAACCACGTTTCACATATTCTCTCACAAAGATTTAACAATAGTGAATTCTAAAGCTTATTTGTTTGGATCTGGAGACTTTTCTAGTTGTTCTTGCGTAGTTGAGATGGCGTCACACATATGCAGGAAGTTGTTTAACTGCAGGTTTAAGTGTGAAAACTTCCACTGACACATTAAGCTGCTGATATTTTTGTCATTTGGGCGTTGACACTGAGACATTGACACTGCAGCGCGGTAAGACCATTGTTACCATTATTTAACATTAGGTAAAATAATTCTGTAGGGCTACAGCTGATATTTGTAAAAATGTGCTGATGAGTTGAAGATACATGTTGTAGATCCATACCCTGATAACACACGTACATCACGCAGACGGCTATTTGACATCTGCATTTACATCTGCAAGACGTATTTTTTAGAGTGTTTGCTCATCTGCAATATGTACCCGGTGTATTTCTGGTATTTAAAGTAACATCGCAATAATGTAGTTTAGTGTAATAGAAAGACCCCATTTATGGTTTCTAATGATGTTATTTTCAAGCAGCGTTGTCTTGTTAAGCTCTGGACAATTGTATTAAAGTCTCTAGCTGCTCTTATATCTGAGTGGATTTTGTTCTACTGCATCTTTATTAAAGTAACCTAATAAAGTTTGACATCCAACGTAAGCATTTCTCTCGTATCTTCCATGTTTTTAATCATTAGTGATAGTATTATATATTAGGATATAAGGACAGAAGGAAAGAAGTGGTGAATATGAATACTGAGAATGGAAATAAACAGTACATATTTTGGGTCTGTTTTGAGTTGCTATCTACATAATAATATTTCTGGTTTCATGATTTATATTATCAATAGTTTGTATAATCCTACAGTTTATTTCTAGTTTAATGCTATTCATGAGGAAAGAAAGACACTTTACTGTATCTCTTTATTACTGAATCTCTAGATACGTGATGTTTGAGGAAATCCTAAAGATGTTGCACTGTAAGAAACACTGTAGATGTTGTTACACATCCTCTTCTGTAGATGGTGTGTCTTAGTGACAGACACGTGCTGAGTATTGCTAAAGTTTGTGTGAGAATACATTTGTAATATCATTTTTATGCAATCAGTTTATAATTGAGTTTCAAACAGCTGATATTCAATCTTAAGTCACAGGGATTCAGATTCACCTCCAGTATTTTGAATTTTTAGCACAAAATAACCTCATTTACATCATTTGGTCATTTACTCACCTTGCAAAGTGTTATGGCGATATGCTTTTGAAGTTTGAAATCTCATTTTATATGAAGATTCAGAAGTATATGCTTGTGTAATATTTGCTGTCACCTCTTTGTTTCTGATCTCATCGAATGAATGATATAAAAAACAGATAAAATAAATGTACATACTATGTACTTGTTATAGTAATTACAATAACTGGGTAATAACTATGTACTATCTCTGATCCTAACCCTAACCCTAAACCTAACCCACGTACTTTCCTTATATCTTCCAGTACTTTCTGAAGCAAGTACACTGTAAGTACAGGTAAGTGCACACTGTAAAAACTACAACGATTGCTTTGATAACTTTTATTGCTCCTAAACTAACTTCTGTAACTGGCAGTAAAATGTGCTTCATCTTTTTGACCACCGGATGACAGAAAAGTGAAAAGAAGTGCAGAAAAGATTTGAGCAATGAATCCCAGTTCTCATGTTTTTGGGAGTTATTCAATAGATCTGTTAGTGATTTTAAAGAGCATTAATTGTTACACGTTCCCCTGTCTTGTGTTTTATTAACTCTTATTTTGAAGTATTGTTCCTATGTTCTGTCTTCCTGTGTTTAGTTCCCCCCATTAGTCTTGTTACTCTGTGTATTTATACCCCTGTGTTTCAGTCTTTGTTTGCCGGTCGTTGTTTTGCTTATGTGAACTGTTGTGTGCTTTTTGCTTTATCTGGATTTCTCTGCCTTGTTTTTGCTTTGTTTGGATTCTTTTATCATTTTTGTTAATAAATTGTGCTGCATTTAGATCCTCCCCTCTTCCTTGCCTCAAGCGTGACATTAATACTATCTGCTGTCAGTCTGGTGTGTAAGTGCTTGTGCTTGTCAGAAACTGGCACTGCACTTAAACACCATGTATTTGCTCATGTTTCTGAATGTGTAAATGTGGTTGCGTAGCATCATTGCTTCATAAGTGAAACATAGAGTTTGTGTCAGAAAGAGGATCTTGAATCTAAAAGCTGTAAACCTTCATATATGAAAAAAATATTGACGCTCCTGCAGTCATGATGAGTATCTTTACCACGTTTCAACGTTTCACATATTCTCTCACAAAGATTTAACAATAGTGAATTCTAAAGCTTATTTGTTTGGATCTGGAGAGTTGTTCTTTTGTTCTTGCGTAGTTGAGATGGCGTCACACATATGCAGGAAGTTGTTTAACTGCAGGTTTAAGTGTGAAAACTTCCACTGACACATTAAGCTGCTGATATTTTTGTCATTTGGGCGTTGACACTGAGACATTGACACTGCAGCGCGGTAAGACCATTGTTACCATTATTTAACATTAGGTAAAATAATTCTGTAGGGCTACAGCTGATATTTGTAAAAATGTGCTGATGAGTTGAAGATACATGTTGTAGATCCATACCCTGATAACACACGTACATCACGCAGACGGCTATTTGACATCTGCATTTACATCTGCAAGACGTATTTTTTAGAGTGTTTGCTCATCTGCAATATGTCTATTGGACGTTTCCAAGCAGATGTCAAATAGACGTTATAAAAATGTCTTTAAGATGTTTATATATAGATGATGCTCAAAATGTCATACCGGTCAGTTTTATGATTGCAGAAATCACTATGGCGACATCACTCATAACATCACTTCCTCTGATCTTGGTGATCATGACTGCGGGTGAGTCTTCAGCTACAGTCACTATACACACACTTTAACACTCTTTGAAACGCTGATCGAGCTCTTCACACTTTGTAGCTTTTATAGTGATATGAGTGTTTTGCTGTCAGTTAACAAATAAAAATGGTTAAAATGAAAGACACTTTTTGTGCACTGGTTCAAAACACCCGAAACACCACCTCATTTTCTCATATCTGTGTTTCGTGTTTCAGATGCTGATGGTCTGCAGGATTGGGGAGTGAATTACAGCCCTTCATATGTTTGTGCATTAAAGGGATCAACAGTGAAAATGTCCTGTTCTTTAAAATATCCTCGTGGCTATGAGATTAAAACAGTCTTCTGGACCAAACCTGCTGTAACTGATGGAGATCTACCGGACCTGTGTTTAGTTCCAGAAAACAGAGAAAGAGTTCAGTGTGTCAGAGAAAATGAAGACACTCACAGTATCACTTTGACAGATGTAACAGAAGCTGATAAACACATCTACTACTGCAGATTCACTACAAACCGGGGAACATGGACGGAGATTCCTGGAGCTCAGCTGGATGTCACCGGTAGTGAACTCTCAGAAATACACCACAGACACAATGTCAGTGGCGCAAAAACGGGGTATGCAGTATATGCAGTGCATAGGGGCGCCACACATAGGGGGGCGCCATTTTGACAAAATCATTCTGTGAAAATCTTCTTTAATAAAACGTTATAAATAATCAAAAGCTTAGTTATTAAAAATAATGAATGCAACATGTTTTTGAGCATTTCAATGAGTTCAAAAATGTATAAATGTATATGTATAAATTACTTGTACAATGTAAAAACGTATTAAAACGCGGAACGGCCATATCTCTTTGCGACCACAACAAACGGGAGACTTTCCAGACGGTCACTTCAGCTTGCCCTCAGGTACATGTGCCAAATGAGTTTCAGTAGAACAACAGGGAACTGCGGTCTGATGAGATATTGTTATATGTCAGTAAAAAGCTTTCCTGTCCTGTCAGCCGTTTTACTGTGCTCACGGCGCACGCTCTTCAACAGTACACGAATGAGGCGCACGCTCACTTCATAAATAAACCGCACTAGAAACTGCGAGCATAGACCTACATCGTCAGTTAAGTCACAAAATTACCAAAATGGCGACTAAAACTGCAAAACTGCATGCATGTTTGTGCATTACGTTTAAGAACGTCTCTCAAATGCATGCAGCCTACTGAAATATTGTGCAATTCGAGATCACAATAGGGTGCAAGATGATAGGCTATGTAATATTTTTTATTTATAATTTAATGCACAAGTAGGCCAAATGTGAGCACTGTGCAGTTAAATGTACTAGAAATTATGCGCTAATTTTTTGAAACGAAAATGAAAAGAAAAAGAAACCATATTTAAATGCATGAAAAAAAC